TTTCCCTTGCTTTAGTTGAAATTAGATGCATGCACCAACAAAATCCAAAAATACAATGTCAAATTGAAGCCATAATACAATGTTGAATTGTCCTTTAGTGGTAAGCCAAACCATTCAGTCTTAGAAGCCCTCAGAATACCTTGAACTCCTGGCTTTAGCAACTAGGGCTCTATTAATTTTGTGGCTTGTTCAATCAATGTGGACTTTTGCATTATTAATTAAAACCAATGCTTTTGAAATATCAGGCTGTGTTACTTATAGGCAGGGCAGAGCCTAGAACCCAGGACTCTGGATCCCAGACAGTGGGCAGTTCACGTCAGCTTGCCACATCTCAGGATGCACCCAGATACCTGTGTATAAAGACCTGGGACAAATCAAAGTCCCATAAAGTGTAAGCACTTTAAGTTACGGCATCCTCTTCTGGCTAACCATACCTGAACACCCTCCTCCCAAAGAAAGGATCTATTTCCCCTGCCCAGTTCTATATCTCACATATGTGTATTTGCCAAATGTCCCCTAGTGTCCATCTTTCTCCTCCTCCACCCCAACAAAGCCTGTATTGCTGGTCAGCCAGATCCACAGATGTGGGCGGGTCATCATGGTGACAGAGGAAGCCCTAATGCAGAAGGAGAGAGACAAAAACAGCAGAGGAAGGACCCTGCCCTATTTCTAGGGTAGCCAAAGGTCTGAGCTTTTAAGAAGTGCTTCCTTTGACTCAGAGAAGCATAGTAGAAGTCAAGAGAGGTGCTTCTGTGTTGGAGAGACCATGGAATTCCTGAACTCTTCTTTAAAAATTTTTTTTTCTGTGATTTTCAGGTGATCATCAGTATAACCATGCGATTTTAAGCAGCGCTACCCAGACCCCTACACATGGTGAGAGATGATTGAGAGTGTTCTGTGTTCCATCCTCATTCCAAGTGGCTCCATCCTAACTACTGATGCCTATTATGGCATCAAACATGGTCACTGGCTCATAGAAGCTAAGGTGCAAGGAGCCAGGTACCCGCCCTCCTCCAGGGCCACAATGCCTCACTCTCACTTTTAGACAATTGTCCCCCTAGTGTCTGTCTCCGATATCAGAGCGATCTTCTGCCATGAAAGGGAAAGGGAAAGCCCCTTTTTTAACGAATTTCACTTGC